GGTTTGACTCCGAGTACGCCAATCACTGGAAGGGAGTCAGTGAAGATGTTGATGGCTTCACTATGAATGGCGTTCATTGCTTGTCCCTTGTTTGTTGAGTCCTGAACCCTTGATGTTGTTGTAGCGGCAGAATTCTGCCGAGTTGACAGTCCTTGGCCGGATAAAAATCCGGGTCCGTTCCGGTTACGTAGACCCTACTGCCGTGGGAACGGTGAGTCCTGAACCCTTCATCGCAGTGGGTCTTCATACCATAGCGGAAATGCTCCGCAAGGAAGAAGAAGAAGGTAGAAAGAGGTATTGGCACAACTCCAAGGCATGCAAAATGTCAAGTTGTTAATCGGGGGTTACAACCTAAACAGGTTTAAATAAGTAATCAATCACCCTAGGGAGAAACTCAGACAATTCGTCGCATTATACAACATGGGCCTAGCTTCTTGAGCAAATTGCCGGTTCTGCGACAGTGAGTCTGAAACTCCGGAACACCTGCATAACAGTCTGCAGACGCAGAATAAAGGCTCTTGGATCCATGTTTCGAATTAGGGATCACATCGCCTCACTAGCATTTAGCAGTATAGTGGAATTTTCAATATGCTGGGTAATTTTATAGATTAGGAGAGGGCACAGTCTACATCCATTTATTTTATATATTTATAATCCGAAGAGGTACTTCGTTTACTTTTTAATTTGACTTGAAAATTGTTTATATCAAACAAACTGTCAAACCGTTTTCAGTAGGATGCCAGCCGTTAGCGGTGTGATGATTTGTAACAAAACTAATTTTGACATGTGTTGGTGGAAGCTGTAGCGAATCAATTGTCGAAAATTATAGGTCATTAGCTGAGTTAATGCAATTATAACGGCCGTAAGGTGGCATTGCGATAGGATAAAATATAAAAAACAACAGTGAAAAATATGTGATAAAAATAACGCAACAACAAAAGTTTATCCACAAAAAGCAAAGAAAGATAATAAGAAAATCATCCATAGTGGTTCAACAACTACACAACTTAAAAAAAATCATAACCTACCTCAATGATAAACTTAACATCGCTGAAATTCTTCAAAGACAAAGCCATTATGGCCAGATTCTCCGGTGAGCCCAACATCTGCGGTATAATACTACGTTCAGCCAAGCGATTGAATTCGCGCCGTGACTTTAAATCCTCTGCTGCATTGCACTCTGTGTCCTCTGCAGCATTGACGCTATTAATCATTAAATTAACTTTGGCATTATCTGCTTCGCCAGCTTGCACTATGGGACGCGCAAGGCCGGCAGCAACACTAATAGTGGCTCGACGTTTTTTACGCGCCGCTTTGCGACGCGACAAACTAGCATAGTTACTACGATCACGACTGTCATCGTCACTGGAAGACTTCTCTATTACATCGATATGTGCATGTATCAATTGGAGCAGCTCTTCCGCCTCAAGGCCGAACTTCTGCTTGCGGCTTGACAGCGTAAGTGAGTTATCAAATTTCTGCAAAACTGCATATTTCCACAGTGCCTCCGTTATTACATCGATGATACGTTGGAAACGTAGCTGCACACGACCCGAAGCCAATTTATAATCTTCCGAATGTATTTTCTTGGTAATGAAATTTTTGAGAAATGCAAAGATTGCATGTAGCGCTGGGCCACGACAAATGAAACCTTGACGTCCGCTATCTGCAGAGAGTGCCGTTGAACGCATAGATGCTGTGGGTGTCTCCAAAGCTGCTTCGGCTGTGCTACTAACGCCACTTGAATGCGCCGCTGAGTGGCCGAGACTTGTGTGGAATGCTGTTGAATAGATGTTTGAAACGTGTCGCAAATGTTCCCAGCGTAGGAATATTAATTGGAAAATATCCTCAATCAGAGCACATAACATGTCGACATTGAGAATTTTACGCAGCATGCCATTTAGCTGCTGCACCTTGCATTCGTAGTATGCATCCAAATTATGAGAGTTTGTGTTGGGTAGCATTATATCGCACACAGTTGAGAGCGCTGTGTAGTAATTCAAAGTTTCCATTTCGAGTTCGTAAATGCTTTTCATATTTGTTAGCTGCATTTGCCATTTGCGTGTGGCGTCCAAAAGGCGACGCGTCTCCTCAAAACTGTTAATTGTTGAAATGTTTTTACATAGTTTATTACTGATTAAAGCAAAAATATGTAACTTACCTGGTATCAATGTCATAGTCGTACAGTAACTTCAAAACGCTTCTGCTATTTAAAATTGCATCTAATGTTATTGTTTTATATAAATCTGTATTTCGTTTTAGAAAATCTAAAATTGTAGATATGCGCTGAAAATCAGCATAAAAGAACTTATGTATTTCTTTTAAATGTAACGGACTGCCGTCAACGGCGTACTCCGACAGCCACTTGTTTATGTTGCCGAGTTCGGACAATGCTTGCTTTGTATTTGAGAATTCATCGGCAATCTTTAGTATCAATAAATTGTTACGTAAACCTTTATTTTTCACATTACTAGCATTTTTTAATTGCTTTGCTATCAACGGTGCAAAATGCAATTTATTTCGCAATGCTTGTTGTAATATAAATTCTTTATTTGGCACACCATTTGAGCAATTCTGGTATTGTTGCTGCATTTGTTCGAGTACCTCTACTAATAAGTTGGAATCATGACGTGCCAGTAAAGCAAGGAATACGTCGTCAGAACTATTGACTTTTTCAATTAAGGATTTTATTAATTTGAAACGTAACGTTGGACCATCGAGTATGTTTAGCGGAAAATTTGCAATAAAATTAGTAAACTGTGCACCGTTTTCATTCGAATTTTCTTTCAATAATATTTGTAGTACTTCAGCAAATACACGACTGATTTGAAGTTTGCATCTTTCTCGACTAGCATTCAATATTTGCACAGCTGGGTATATATGGTCCAGCAGCAATTGTGTTATATTTTCGAAGTCGGTTGATATTAGTTTGCTGTTATTGGGTTGTAAACTTTGCAGCCAACTCTGGAAGAGTTCAAAGTACATAATGCAGTCAAAATTAATAAATGTATATGTATGATTACCAACCTTTAGAAAGTTGCATTCGGAATATGGTAGCACTTCCAAGTACTCCTGAATCTGCGCTTCTATGTCATCCATTGTTTACGCTGCTCGAGCAAGTCAGTGTTAAACAAATTATTATATATTTGCTATAATGCTGTACTTTTTAGCAATAGCATCTATCTAATATGACTATATATATATAAAACAAAATGCATTTTTTTATGTAATTGCATATCATTTTAAATCACAGCAATAAAATAACGATTGCTACAACTCTGCACTCAAGTCTTTCACCCGCTTTTAATTGTTTTATTGTTATTTCATTGTAAAACCTTTCTAATAAATTGGGATGCTAGGCGAACGAAGTCGGAGAAAAATAATGCAGTTTTCAGAAATGTATGTAATTTTCCTTTGTTTAATTTTCATATCTGTTATCAGCTGATATTGTTTTGATGTGCACAGAATAAAATAAACTAAGCGCTGCCAGGTAGCATATTTTTATGATTTACGTTCTCTGGTTATAAGCTGTATTATTAACAAGAAATTCAAAGATACACTACAATAAACAATAGATTAATATATAAATTGACATACAACCGATCGAAAAGTATAAATAATAATATATTCATATAAATAATAATGTAAAATGTATATCAAAAAACCAAGAGCGCCATCTCATTGAGAACTCTTCCATAACTAAAAGTGGTAAAGTACACGTCAGTTTTTGTAAATATCACATTGTCATCGAATTGTTTTCTTGATTTTTCCAAATTGCTAAATTTTTTGTTTTTATTTATTTACTGAAACTAAACAAAATTTATTGTTATTATTAGTGAAGCACTCAAAAATTGTGACGCCATTGCAGAATGGTGTATATAGACCGAGGTAAATTGTTTAAGATATTCGTGTATAAAATATATTAAAAACTAATGTAAACAACAGATGGTCGTGTCTTGGAGCGGAGACCATGGAGTGTGGCGCGTGTGCTGGAGATATTCACAAGCATTTGGTTTGTGACTGTCACCTTGTAAGTAAATTCTTAGAACGCGCAATATGGTATAATGCACGCACATATCTACTTACACATATGTTCATATTTCAGCTTTCGAACCCTGATGGCTCCCTTCATGAATAATGACAATCCGCGCAGCAATGCGCGACCGAGTAGATGGGGAACCGGTGGTGGAGGTGGTCCAGGTGGAGGTGGTGGTGGTGGTGGTGGACGAGGCAACGGTAATGGTGGTGGCTTCAATCAAGGCCTTCGTCCAAATCGTCGCATCGGACGTGTTGTTAATACATCAATGGATTGCAATATACCTGGTGGCGGATGAGCACGGTAACGTGTTCAAGCAATTTGTGACGTTACATAAAGTTTTTCAGATGAAGAATTACTTTATGCACGCTTGGACACAACAGACTTAATCATCACCCATAAAGCACTGTTAAAACTACTCGAAACCTTTGACATCGCCGGCAGTGCGTTATACTTTGTCGATTTTTTGGCATTCATTGCTTCTATGACGATCAACTTTGCAACCCTAAGTTGGGAGAAGTTGTTCTGATAATTATAAATCGACAAAGTGTAATTATTGAGGCTTATACTAATAGCAAAATATACATACATTTACATGTAAATATAACAAATATGCTTTAATACATAGTCAAGATCAGTGCAATAGCCATGCTTTCGAATACATACGTATGTAACTGAAGATAATTTTTGTGAATATATGAAATTTTTTCCGCCTCAGTGAAATTTATTAACAGTACAAAAATTAAATTTTTTTGTGTCAAACGTTTGAAGGGTACTGTTGCATAATTACAACAGCTGTTGAAATTTTTTTGAATATGAAGTACAAGAACTTATATATTTCCTCGACAGCTCGATATAATAAAATGGACTGTTATATAGGCCCAGTGGCATGATAGAAAGACTAAGTCGTGTAAAAAGAAGAATACCGTCATACCACCCAACTAGTCATGGTTTCCGAAACTCATTTATCAAACTCTCCCACTACTCCCAAACTTATAGTGAGCACTTTTATTTTTGCGCATGCGCCTGCATTTTTACCTTTTCTTATATAATTCATTTATATAAAAAATTAGAATTAATTAACTACATTAATTAAAAACAACTTAAAAACTTAAAAATCTATCCGAGCCTTTTTCGTGCATACTTTATCGGTCCAAAATGCATTTATATCTTCATAGACTTGAGTACGTCTAACGGTGGGTTTTGAGTGAATGCGCTCACATAACTCGCAATATGGTAGCATGTGGAGGCCGCCATCATTAGCCTCGACCCTGTAATAGCGACGCCACCAGAAGTACTTAGCATACTGGTAGGGATGCTCACTCAAGTAGTTGAGGTATTCAGCCAGTGATGAGGCGTTTTTGAAGTCCTGCGCATCAATGTATGAGTGTGGTGGCGCGAAACGCGTATAATTTGCACCACCGTAAACCACGGGCACAATGTGTCGCTGCAGCGCGTTAAAAAACTTTTCCGTTACATAATCCTTGCAAAGGGAATTCTCAAAACTCAAATAGAATTTGTAATCTTTGTCGAGCAACTCATCGCAACTGCTGTTGAACCGTTCGCATCTGTAAGAGGAGAAAAAAGTGAAGTTATTTCAATAAAAAAAAAAATTATGTTTTAAAATAATTTGTTGTTGAAACTCTATTTTAGTCATAAGACCGATTTTGGGTTCCTTTATTATACCCTTTTACATGGTATATAAAGTTTGCTACGACGTTTGTAACACCCAGTAGGAAACGTCGAAGAAAAGTATATACATACATACATATTTTTATATATGCATCGAAAATAGTACGTAAAGATGTGGCGAATAGTACGTACATGGGTGTCGCGGAGTCTCTGAAGAAGACTCGCAGTGAGCTTTTTCACGGATGGATCAAAGCTCAAGGGTAGGTTGATGGAGGAGTGTTTTGTCTGCAGCTCTCAAACAACTCTTGTTTCAGCATTCATTAACGTAGCAGCAAATGTATCTCTCCGAAGTTCGGCTTCTTTTAGTGAGGTTTGCATTCACTCTGATAGCAGCGCTATACAGGCCTTGAACTTGCTGATAGTAAATGATCATGTACCCCTCATGAAATATTAAACTTGTCTGGGTGCCTGGTCACAGCGGAATCGTCGGAAATTAGAAAGCCAAACAGCTTGCAAGAAAGTGCCCTTACTTTGATTCCAACAGGATGGAAACAGTTGTTGCTCTGCCTACGTGCATTCGAGTGCTGAATCTATAGGTCATGCGCGCGCTCGGCAAGCGTTAGTCAGCAAGCAGCACTTTTGGCGTTGCGAACGACTTCTGGCACAGAGAGAAACGTAAAAGTTCAAAGTAAAGCAAGACTGATATCGTAACTTGTAAAAATTGTACTGAGGCAAATGAGGTGGTAACATCTAGACGCTTTTTCCAGCTCTGTACAGCTTTCGCCAGACTAAGGTTGAAGCATCACCATTGCCATACTTTATACGAAGCCGGCGAATTGGCTGGAGTTGATATTAGGGTTTGTCCGGAAAGAAATAGTACTGATTTTCTTCCGTCGCGACTGTACTTCGGAACGTGCGCGTATCGACTGGATTCGATAGTGGGCGTTCCTAACTAACGAACAAGCGGCTGGTCAGTTGTCTCCGAGCACCTGGAAAGTCAGGACAAACATTTTCACGCATGAAACTCGGTATATCTCCGACGTTTAATATGATCAAGCAGGCTTACCCAGATGTTGATTTCACAGATGTGTTGTGTTTCGGTGTCACCAGGCCTTTGTGGAGCGCCAGGAAGAGGTCGTTGAAGAAGACCGAAAGGCTGAGGCAATCCAAAGTGAAAACGATGCTCATTTTCGTTTTTCTTCCTCCTGGAGAAACCGTCAAACCAAATTTTATGTGGAAGTCCTCAAGAGGCTCAAACGAAGGGTTAAAAGGAGTGCGACAAGGCATCGCAGCCGATTGGAAATTGCACCACGATAACGCCCTGGCTCCAGACGGTGTGAGCAGCTACCTAACCAAGGCCGGCATTCCAACGCTTCCGCAGCCGCCCTATGTGGTACACTACTTTTTTTGTTTCGGCCGATGAAAAGCAAGAATTTTGAGACGACAAAGGGGAATGCCTTCCGTAACGCCTTTAATGCTCGGAAATCGCGCTGGCAGTACTGTACCGACGCAGAAGGAGCCTATCTTGAACGTTTTTCAAGAAATTGTAAGATTGGTTCAATAATTTTTTTTTTAATCGACTCAGTTCTATTACTTTCCGGACAAATCCTGTACCTGGGAGTTCTGGGCATCACAACAAATAGGCGAATCTAGCTGTCCGAGTGGAATTATTCCTGAGCTCATTAATCTAACTTGAATTAACTTTATAAAGCTGGAACTTTAAATAAAATCAGAACTCTTCGTAAACTATTCGTACTTTAAATAAGTGAAGCTCATCAAAACATTGCTGTTATCTTGTTGTAAACATATTTCACCTCCTCTACAATTGCCTCTATTATCTCTGAGTACCTATGGGTGTACACATTGCAAACACAACAAGCAATTTACCTCAAGGTCCCACATTTGCCATACACATCCACTTGCACGTGCGTCTGCAGCGCCTTCACTAAGCGCTCCCGTCTCGAAGCCACCTTACAGTTGGACGCAAACCAAGCGACCATTTTACGCTTTCCTTCAATTAACAATAACAAATCCGCATCGTTTTGCGTCCAAGCCACCTCCACCGCCGGCCATATTGGATCTAGCGCCGGCGCAATAATTTGACGCGTTGCAATCGTTCTTACCACATTATAACTCCAAACCACGTCCGAGTCGAGGCGATAGCTCAACGTGAGATTATAGAAATTGCTCTCGGCCTGGAAATTGTGCCAGGTATGCGTCGGCGATTCTAATTGTGCGAACACATACGTTTGATTGGGCGCACGTTGTGGTGGTGTGCCGTAGAAAAGCGTAAATTTACGCGCCGTATGAAAAACGATCGCTGCATAGTCGACGATTGAGGGCAAAAAGTCGTGTTGATTGGTGAAAATGCAATTGGCTCGTGGACACTGCGCGTGGAAGGTGTCCGCCGGTAAGGTCCAGCGCTTGTCCTGGAAGAAACCATTCCAGAAGAGTATAACACTGCCTTGCGGCGCCGGCTGCCTCGACATGCGCAGCGCTGTATTTCGTGCATTGTTGCGCGTAAAGATCACCAAAATGATGAGCGTCAGTAAAAATATGATGCAGATGGTGGCGCGCAAAGCCAACTTCAGGCAACGCGTATTACTGTACATTTGCTTGGATGTGCTGAAGGACATTACGCCCACTTTGTAGATATATACATACGTAGCACATAAGTAACTGTAGTGTTTTTTTTTTTTTTTGAGTTTTATAAATGACTGGTGAAGCACTGTGATGAGATTTATGAAAAACAAATCTGTCAATTTTGTTATTGCTTTTAATTTTTTTTAATTTTAATTTTCTATATACATACATACATACATACATATATATTTTTTTATTACGTGAACTATTTAAAAGGCGATTTAAATTGTTTCGTACATTAATTCCCGCGTGCTTATGTTTTATTTCTCAAACACGAACTATATAATATGTTTGCTCACTGTTCGCTCTAGGCCGACTCGTCGGGGTTTGAGCTTCTGTTAGAATTCACCCACTACAATTAGACTTTGTATGCGCTCACGGATTTTAATTTGAAACAAATACATATGTATACCATATATACCTCGTATTATGGGCAGAAAATAGTAAGACTTTGTTCATCATTTTAAAATTCTTAATTTATTCTTCAAAATTTATAAATCTATGTCATCAAAATCAAAGTAATCCACCTTGTTAAAGTTCAATTACCAGAACAGCCTGCAATACACTTAGGGATTCAAGTTTAATGTCTTCAATTGACTCAAAATGGTTTCCCCGGAGCAGACGATTTGAGTTTGCTGATAAGCCAGAAGGCACACAGAGCTAAGTCCGTCGAATACGGTATTTACGATCTGATGTTCATTGAAAGTTTCGCGAAAAAACTCATGAAGAATCAATGCAGTATACGACGGTGCAAGAAACAAGAGTTGTCGACACATAACGGGGTTTTCAAAGGGAACGCTACAAAAGCAGACCGATAGGGACAGCAAACGACGCCATATTTTTTGCCGCTCTTTTAACATTTCTCTTCCATTAGACTTGTCATTTCAACATGGAAATATATACGATCCAATAACGAGTCGAAATTATAAAAAGTTACTACCGAAATTCGGAGTCAGTGGCCTCAACTTTAAGAGCGCTACGTCGAATTTACGGTCGTCATAATCATCCTGTCAGATCAACATTTGCGCGTCTGGTGGAAAAATTTGAATCTGCAGCCATAGTACAAAATGTGTCCCGTGCAAGTGAGACTAAGAAGAGTCCATGGTGTCGAGCACATTGCTGCCGCTAGCGCATGATTTGGGGAAGACGCAAATCAGCTGCCTTGCTCGCGGCAAACATTATCACCGAACGTTCGGCAACAGAATTTTGATTTCTCGACGAATGGGTTTTCGCCCGAAATTTAGATTAAAAAGTCTTACTATTTTTTGCCCACAGCACTTTTGATAATTTTTAAACACAATGCTTTGAAATACATGTACATACATATATAACATGTTTGTATATTCTCTATTTATATTCACTTTTAATAATTAACTTTTATTAACTTATCTAGACTTTTAATACTCCAGCATTAACATTTTAAATAAAAGCTGATTATTTTTTTTATTTTAAACTCACGTAGTAAGTCTAAACCCAATTTCTCTGTGCGACAATGAGAACTAAATACCAGCGATAGAAACGCTTATCACAGATATTCCAATATTGGTAAAGTTATCAGGTAGTAAACCCTTATTGCTTATTGGCACACCTGTATGAGACTACATACATATGTACATGTAAATTTATAAATTTGTATTTATTACGCTGCACTGATCGCCAAACCTCACTTTTTGCCGTTTGAGTGTTAGTAATTTTATCAGCTATGGCGTTACAGATAAGAACTACTCATAACTATAAGTTCCAAATGAATTTATTTGATTTAATGTTATACACAAATAAAGCACAATTGCGCAGAAAGTTGGTGCGTAAATAGTAAAGTAGTGTTATCTACCCCGCCGAAAAATATTTGAGAACGCCAAGTTTGATATATAGGGTGCTTATTTAGCGGCAAGAATAAAACGAACTGCCAAACTTGCATAGCAGTTGTAAACAAAGCCTGCAGCCACCTTCGTTCAGTGCAGCCAGATTCTTCTCCATCTGGTCATTCTCTTTCTTTGCTTCCCCCAGCGGGAACGGCGTCGAATACTCTCAGAGTTGGAGTGTTTTCATCCATTTGGACGTCATGTGGTCCTAGAAAACATACCCGCTGTCTCTTAATGCGCTGAACTATATCAATGTCGTCGTATATCTCTAAACAGCTTATCGTTCCATCGAATGTGATATTCGCCGATGCCAATGCGCAAAGTACCATAAATCTTCCGCAGAACATTTCTCTCGAAAAGTCGTAACGCCGTCTCATCAGATGTTGTGATCGTACATACTTCTGCACCATTTAGCAGGACCGGGATGATGAGTGACATGCAAAATTTTGCGTTTGTTCGTCGAGAGAGGACTTTACTTTTCAATTGCCTACTCCGTCCGAAGTAACACTTGCTGGCAAGAATTATTCTGCTGACATTGTTGTGGGTATTAATACTGATTCCAAGATAGACCATATTATCTACGACTTCGAAGTTATGATTGTCAATAGTGACGTGGGACCCAAATAGCGAGTGCGACGACTGGTTGTTTAATGACAGGAGATAATTCGTCTTACCCTAGTTCACTGCCAGACCTTTTTCTGTTTAAGTAACAGTGCGTGAAAATCATTGTGTTGGCAAATCAAAAGATTTTGGCTAATGCTTGGGATATGAAGCGTGTATTCCTCGAACTCATCATTACTGCTAATGAGACATGGACTTATGAAAAATGTCCAACAATCTAGCGAATGGCACCCGAAATGAGCCGAAACAGTAAAAATCAGTCGAGGCTTATAACTAATGTATGAAATATTAGATTGAACGTTAGCATGCTTGTATTAGCTCAGGAGTTTATTTTGTAGACGATAAGAATTACTTGTATTTGAAATAAAAATTCCATACACTAAGAAAGTATCCTTTACATGAATTTGATCAGAATGACGAATTGGTTTACCGATATCTGATTTCTGTTCGTGGAAGCGGTTATTCACCAAGAAAAAGTTTGATATGCACATGTATTTTAGATAAGAATTTTGGTGCTTTCATTCGAGTACACATAATGTGCAGACCACCAAAGTGTGTGGTTTATTCATTCCTGAAAAAAACTACTCGGTCTATCCGAAACTGGTGGAAACATGACTCTTAACAGTATTAAAAAACAATGTGAAATTGGAAGAAATCGGTTCTGCCACTACCGGTTTTACAACTACTTCGTTGTTGAACTAATTAAAATAATAACAGTACTAGCTAATTAGGTGGAGTGAGTGAAAGATGATGATGCAACAGTGCAAAGTTTCCAAAGTAATTTTGTTTTTTAAAACTTGGCCAATAAGTTGTGGTGCAAAATATGATATAACCGATCCTTAGTTCAGGACAGCAAACGACGCCGTATTTTTTCCCGCTCTTTTGACATTTCTCTTCACTAAGGGTCGCCATTTCAACATGAAAAGATATACGATGGTCATAATTATAGTCCTGTCAGATCAACAATTGAGCGTCTAGTGGAAAAATTTGAATTTGAAAATCGCTGTGACGTCGGCTTACATCCTTAAAAGATCAAATTGCCGCAAGAACAGAGCCGCTTGACCACCAGAATTGTCGTATGCGAGATTTCCCATACACCTCGTCGAGAAAATACTGAGCATTCTGTCATTTGGTACTAAATATGTATTAAACCGATGTCATGGTTTAAATCTTTCACTGGCCTCTAAATACGTAATATTTGTGGCGATTTTTTGGCTCTTGAAGAATTACAAGATATCCCAAAAATTAGTTTGGAATATCTAACATTAGTTTTTATCAAAAAATTGTAAATCCACATTGACCTTCTTTTGAAAAACAATAACCATCTGAGAACACAATAGACCCTAGGTCGCGGTGCAATCCTCATTTATTTATCTAATGTGACTCTAAGTGAACGTCTGAGCAATTTAATAACGAAAAAAATATATTAAGTTCAATTGCACCGAAGCTAGAATACCCTTCACAGCTACATTTTTTATAGCAAAAAAGTGTATAGGATTTTTATCTTGATTTTGCTCAATTTTTAATGGCGGTTAAATGCTACTGTGGTCCGATCTGAACAATCAATTAACAGAACAATAGATATGATAATTCGGGTGGTGGAGCACGGTGCTAGCTCGTTCCGTAGTTGTGGTTGGCCGTGGGGAAACGATCGGCGCAAATGATTCCACAAATGTTAAAATAAAAAACCAAAAAGTTTCATATAATATATATAATTTTAATAAATAAATTGGACACACACTTACCACGTCTGTATAGCTGAGCTGTCGCAAAAGGAGAGAGCGCGCGCAACTTCTTTTAGTTAGAGTTTAGTTGCGCGCGAATTAAACTTCGAAAAAAGTTCGAATAAAAGGAAAAGAAAAGATTGCTCTGCCGATACAGACGTGGCAAAAGAAATTGGGCGGGGGCGGCGTTAACAAGATATCTTGTCAAATAAACTACTGTTCCATACAAGGACGTGAGTTTGATTGTTCAGGTTGTATGGCTGCTCCATCTTATAGTGGCCCGATATCAGATTCCGACAAAAGAGCAGGAATAAAGCGTGTGTGTAAAAATTCAGAACGTTTCTCAGAAATTTAGGAACTAATTCGTGTATATAAAAAAAAAAAACAGGAAAAGTCGTACTTAAATTACACCCTTCAGGGTAAAAAAGTATGCAATGCTCTTCTGCGTCTAAGCTGTAATGATCGTGAACTCAGTGGCAGTGAAAAAACTTTCCCTATATCTAGCACATAATGGAAACTTTAATCCATACTTTAATTTTTCTTTATTAATCTCGTAATCGGTTACAATTTTTGTGCATTAAAAACTTATCGGTTCATTGAGTTCGCCGCGAGCGTTGAGACCCTTAATTCGAAATATCTCGCCACAAGATGTTGTTGCATTTTCCGAATCTACAGATGTTACATAAAGTTCATTGTACTTGGCACCGCCAAAGGTCGCAGACGATATTGAACTGCATGGTATTTCAATACGTTCGATTATTCTCCATTTCCTGAGTTGATATGGAGACATAAGCAGAAAGAGGGTGTATGAATATATGTAAATACAGATGCAAATAAAAGTGTAAATATTTATTGAACAACGAGAATTATTACCTGGTGCAAATTTTTAAAATTTTTGTGCTACCATGTACAACAACATAGATATAACCGAACGTGTCTATGGTCATGCCGTCCATGACAATCCAACCGCTGTTATTGTGCGGAAACTCACTAACAGCGAGATGAAAAACGACTTTTGGATTCACTGCAAGAAAAAGAAAATATACATAGAGTATAATTATTTCCGAAATAGTATATTTTGTGACCTACCTGTACGCCCAGTTTTCAAATCGTAATCGAATCGTATGATATCATTTCTGCCACTATCGATGTAATAGTACTCTTTGCGTTTATAATTCCATGCCATGCCATTCGAGAGATTCACATTGTCTAAAATCCGTTCTAGTTTACCATTAGCGAATTTATATAAATTTCGATCACTAACGCCTGCAGTGACGAAATCACAATTAACAGTGCCGGTAAAGAGGCGTCCTTTGGCATCACATTTCGCATCGTTTAGACATTTGTTGATGCCTCGTGGATTCTCTGTCTCAACTTCAAACAACTTCTTAACGACGTGACACTTGGTGGCGTAACCATCCCAATAAATTTGTGCGGCAAGACGATTGAGACCAACAACAAATAGTTTGTCGGAGTTTTTATATGGTATAATAAAGGAAACTCGTCGGTGATTTGCTGTGGATTGGAAAATTTAATAGTGGGAAATAAAGTTTTGGAAGTAATCATATTTGGTGGGGTGGTATTTTCTTACTTACCTTTGAAATTTTCTTTCGGACATTTTTTAATAGGGACTTTCTAAAAACTATCAGATCTGCGAACCTAACCTTACTCAAGATACCTTAAAAACTTGTTACCACAGCATACCGTATTTGCGGGAAACTGTAAGCCTGAAAAGTTTTCTATGACCGGTACTTCAGTCTCAATAACTTCGGAATTGGGTAGCAGCTCCCTTTTACTGCTGGACAGTTGGGCTTCAGGCCGGCTCAGCAATCATAGTCAACTACTAGCAGCTGTGTTGTCGCAAGAACCTTCTGGCCTAAGATAGGGAGGTCTATGGAACTCTTAGTTCACAGAAAGGGTCACCTATCAATGGTCCTAACTTGACACCACCACCAAACAACAGGTGAAATGACCAAAATAGAAATAAAAAACCTAAGCAGATTTGTGATATACATGTGATGTGAGGTTAAAGATGCTTTGTCGATAGCTAATATCCAACCACATACGCCTTTTCGTCCGTTTTCACAAAGGACTGAGCATAACAGTCTAACTGTGATCATTCCGCCATGCTGATGGATCATCCCACTACCCTAACCCAGAGTAGATATTTAACAGACGTAGAACATTATAATTATTCTACTTCAAAGCTTTTTATCTATTACTTTTCTCCTGGGAGTGGTCAGAAATTCTTTTAGATAACAGTCAAGAACTTCACCACTTCCGATCTTTGACCAAGTATCATCTGGGTAGCCTATAAACATCCGTTTGGAGATGTGCTAAAATTAGAAGGTGATGAGTGCTCGACCTTATGATAAAGCCCTCTCTCAACGACCCAAAACTAAACTCTATAAATCGCTCATTATTCTCGTCCTGCTATATGGTGCAGAAACGTGAACGCTGACGACATCTGATGGGACGCGACTAGGAATTTTCGAGGAAAAAGATTTTTCGGCAGATTTATAGTTCTTTAAACATAAGAGATCGTGTTTATCGTCGTGATACAGCGGCACTGACATAGTTCGGCGTATAAAAAGACAGCGGCTACCGTGGCTAGTTCAAATCGTTCGAATGGACAAAAGCAATCCAGTTTTGAGGGGTTCCATGCGGTACACGCTGGTGAAAGGAAAAGACCGCCACACTGTGGGAAAGAAAGCTCTGTGGAGAGTGAGGGGGTTTGGCTTGATCTTACTAACTGGAGCCAAAATATTAGAAGCAGCAAAAAGGGACGCTATTGTTTATTCGCCTATAATCGCGACTTACTTTTAAGGTTACTGAGATTAAGTTAGTTTTGATATTATACAATACCTACTTATTTGGCATTTGTGGGTCCTTCCAGTTAAGGAATCATAACGCACCACTTCACCAGTACCCATATCGACATAGTATAAATTCGGGTACTTCCAATGTGGTCCTTCTCCCATACTCACTCGAGTGCCTTTCAATGCCTCGACCTCGTAGTTAGCCTTTGGTTCGTTAAGGAAACTTATAATGGTCTTGTTTTTTTTTATTGTGTTCAGTAAAAACTTACCGTATCGGTACAGTTATATATACGAAATATCAATGTCACTTAAATATATATTGAAATTGTATTAGTTAATTTTTATGGATTGGTTTTTTGAATATTACCTATGAAAATAATGCAGCAGTTCACTGTTTGAGACATTTTCCAAAAATTCGAGACTAAATCGTCAGCATATTTTAATAGTTCCACACTTTTTAAGCAGTTACATACTAAATTTCAAATTCTACTCAGATGTCTATTTATACTTTTTCGAAATATGAAAACTGAAAATGACCCTGTAAAACTTTTTTTTTTGAATTTCATACTTAACCTTCTCATTTTGAATGATTTCAAAACACATGTGTTCTCCTCAAACTCGTACAATAGTCGCTTATTCATATTCACCGTTGGCGGTCATAATTACAGAAAAGCTTTCAATATTTTAGAGAGTAGAGCTTAATTTTGTTTCTCCCATCTTTTTTAATCACAGGTGTCCCAAGATCGAGTGTCTATCAATTTAAGGTTAGTATATATGAAATGAGAACCCACCAGTTGAGGCTTCAAACTTCCAAGCCAGAAATGTCAGTCAGTAATAAGTGATAAGCAGTCGCTTGACTCTCTCCATCGTAGGTCAAGAGGATTATCACGGACTTAAAGTGAGATTTTTATTTGTCGAGATAAGATTATACTTCTCAATCGTTCACTTAATAGACCGTACTACTAACAGAAATAAAAGTCAAGGAAAATTCATTCCTGATACAAAGTTTTAGTATTTCGGGAAACTAGGAAATGTCGACATTTTTGGAGGGTATGAATATTACAGTTTTCAGCTGCCCGAGATATTCAAAGTACGCTGACAGACATATTTTCATCGAAGTTCGGAAAAGTCATAATTTCGACCCGATATGCTGCACCTTCACTTAAAGACTCTTACTCCAATATACCAGTACGTGTAACAGAAAACACTTGAATTTTGTTAAAACTAAAATGCGTTTTTTTTATAATTATGCGATTTGATTTTTGTAGAACTCTTCACATAATGTAAACGATTATAGTTGAACCTTTGTCATAGGTAAACCCTTAGCGCCCAAGCCGGTAATCTGATAAGTGGTGCCAGCCGGTGGTGGTTGATCAAATTCGGCTGATGTTGTTACATACAAGATATCGAGATTGGGACCACCCCAGGCGGCAGATGTGATTTGCTTGCAGGGAAACTTGATTTCTAAGAGAACTTCCCCTGTACTAATAGAAAACAATAAACCTGCGTGATTCAATAAAACATATACATATCTGCATATGAAAAGACTAACCTTGGATTGACCTTGTTTAAGGTGTACCCATTGTAAGTGGCCACATAAATATTACCATCACTGTCTATGGTCATACCATCGGGTAACAAATTGTTCTCTGGATTCGGGCGGCGCACATCGAAAACGACCTTTGGTTTAGCTAAATTAATGAAAATATGACAAATTTATTTCTAGTGAAGACTTTTTCAAATGACACCCATCACGTGCTTACTTGCTTCACCAGCTTCAAGGTCATAATCGTATTCCTTTACTTCATAGTCAGTTGTATCTATAAAATAGAACTTATTTGTTTTCTCGTTCCATGCCAATCCGTTGGAGATACCGACATCGGTCTTCACTACCGTTACTGTGCCATTATCATATTTGTACAGTTCACCCCAGCGATCTTTGTATGCATCGCCGATATAACGCATCGTGCCGGCGAAGAGACGTCCACGTGGATCAGCTTTGCCGTCGTTAAAACGATTCACAATATACTGTTCGTCTTGTTGCACTTCGAAGAGTACACGGTCTACCTTGCTTGTCGACGAAACACCATCCCATGTGATGACCAGTACGCGACGACTAGATCCAACAACAAATTTATCCTTTTGTCCTTCGACCGGCACAATGAAGGAGGTGAATTGGAGATTCTCAACTTTGCTACGGTACACCGTATCCTCGTGGTAGTCATAGCGGAGTATCCAGCCAGAATCAAGAGAAACATAGTAGAGACTCTGCGTCTCAATATTCCAATGGGGACCTTCACCGAGGTGAGCATAAGAGTCGGGCAATGGCTCGATTTGGTAAGGCAGCTATGTTTGGAAGATACGAGTTTTGAAATAATTTCGGAATTCGTAAGAAACCTGTTAAATTTTTGTGTTATTCCAGTAATTAGGACAATTTTAGATTCATCTGGTGTACTCGTACAAGTATATTATTTCAAAAATAGTGGGGGGAAAAATGAGCCTTATCTCAGTTTATGTATGTATATATTGGTGCATCAGCATTATTTTCTATTTTTTAAAGACGATGTAATTGTAATATTGCAACTAGTCTGGCTTATCGGCTTAACCTTTCAAAATCCAATGATTTGTGAGAGCATCAACAGTAATTTGTTGCTGTTACTCATCGATGACTAACGACATTAGTGTTATGTAAACGATTTTTCGTAGATATATTAAAACAACATATTCAAATTAGTTGTTCAGAAACAACGAAGGGATACAATAAGTTGTGGCAAACTTGAGAATAAAATGTACATGAGATCGGCTGGATATAATGGAACAGCTTAATATTGTGATATCTCAAGATTGGTCTTTCTTAGATCTCTTTTCCTTTGCATTTCCAAGTTCCAAACTAAATGTACCATATAACCATTGGCCCAGAGAGAAAGATTAAATTTGGTAGTACCACTTTCGAATTCTTCGGGCTCTTGATCGCAAAGAAAATTGTATATATGTGTATATGGTATAGTATCAATTTTGAACACCGATAAATATTTTGAAGACTGGTTGATATGATAAAAGTTCGAGGAATAGTAAATCTTAACTACTTTTTTTAATTTTCGCTCAACGAGGGGAAACTTTTGTGACTTCTTTTATGTGATTTCACGGAAGGTCAGTGTTACATTGTATGATGCAAGTTCGTCCTTTCTTTACACTAAAACATACCCCTGATGTGACCCAAAAAGATAGATATTATTTCATATTTTCGTTAATACCGTTAAATTATTATTTTCCTCTGCCGCCGAAACCTCATCACTGTGTACTTGGAAAGCGTTTAAGCACACTAAAACCGAAATAATTGCTAAACTCGGTAAATCCATAATTTTTTTCCAATTATAATTTTTTTATACACAACAATCCGTCAGTATAACTGTAAGTATGAGATCTCACGACCTCAAATAAATAAATCCAACTCAAATAAAGACTAACACAGTTAACAGACCAAGACAAAACTGAAACCTTGGCTCAAGCTGCGGCGACACTTATAAACTATCACTGCTAGACACGAAAGTAACTAGTACACAACTACATGCCTATACATATATACATTATATATACATATATAGCTAATTGATTTGCAATCGCAAAATCAGTTGTTGTCAGAATTACACAATCCAGAAGTGCAAAGAAATAGTTTTTCAATGAATGAGCATTTATTTTCTGTGACTTTTAAAGGGGGGTTGAACCCCCCTGGAAATTTGAAAACATTAAAATTTTTTTTAGATATGTGAAAAGATATATGTATATGTAAAAGTATGATATCAATATCATCGGCAAACGCCAGCAGCTGTACACTCTTATAAATCTTATACACATCTAGATGTGTATAAGAGACAGGCTGTACACTCTTATAAAAAATTAAGCTCTGCAAATCGAATTATATTCTCCAGCAGCCTCGTTTGGTACCGAACGGCTTTCCCGATTCTGATGGAGCTTTTGGTGTTGCCCAACGTCAGTTTAGACAGCCGTATTAGTTTTGCGGGGATACCAAATTCAGACATCGCGGCATAAAGGCAGCTCGTTTTCGTGCTGTCGAAAGGAGCTTTGAAATCGACGAAGAGGTGGTGAGTGTCGATTCTCCTTTCACGGGTCTTTTCCAAGATTTAGCGCATGGTGAATATCTGGTCGGTTGTTGATTTGCCCGGACTAAAGGTTTCACACAGTAAGCTCAATAGAACCTTATATGCGATGTTGTGCCAGCTTATCCAACGGTAGTTGGCGTAAATTGTGGGGTCTCTCTTTTTGGGCATTGGGCAGAACATACTCAAATTCCAATCGTCGGCTATGCGTACCGACCATATTCTACAAGGAAGTTGATTCGTGCTCCTTATCAATTCTTCGCCGCCATATGTTAATATCTCGGTCAGCAATCCATCGGCCACCGCTGCTTTGTTGTTCATCAAACTAATGTACATATTCACTAAAATGTAGTACACATTTTTGAAAAAGTCCGAAAAGTCTGTTTATGTATGATTATAAAATTTGCGCTAATAAAGAATCCAGTTCTTTTTTTTAACTTGTTCTCCGAGTATCACTAAGTTACCTCACATACTGTCTATATAGTAAACCGAAAGCTCGAAAATCTTTAAATTAGGCATATGGAAGCTACGGAGAAGTATTGCCGAGTTCAGCACAAAGATACATTATTGTAAGACAAACATTTTCTCACGAGTTGATCTACATATATCTATGCTATATTCGATATCTGTGGACTTGAACAGTTCAACTCCCACTTCGACAGTTTGTAGACATGAGATGTTTTATTTTTGAAGACACTATTTGTGCAAAATTTTATTCCGATATTGGCAAAATTCCGATTTCTCTTTCCTTTCCTCTTTCTTTATTTAGCAATCTTAGTTATTTCATACAGAGGATTATTACGCGAAAGACTTCAGTCACTGCGGGTATTGACCAACCCGCAGCCCGCCAACGCAGAAATAAGAATCACGCGAAAATAAGTACAAAGAAAACGCTGTCGTTGAAAAAACCTTCATATTTGGTTTCTAAGATGTGGTAACGCTCGTTTTCCTCATAATTAAATATAAACACTCTAACCTTTTCAGCTGTGAGTGTGCTAAGTGATTTTTAAATTAATTAATTAAATTAATTTACTACCTAAATGCACATAAAATAAAACTGAAGTGAGCTTATTTCAATGTTTGTTTGAAGAAACTTCCGTATCAGCATATACCCCATTCATATCGGAACTCGTTGTACTGACAACGAATGAAAAAGTAATCGAGTTGCTAGAAACGCTCCTCAGCAAGTATGGTCGATATAGCTTTAGTAGTTTGTGAGGTATGTATGAGCCCAAACCTTCCAGAGGGCGACTGTCCGCTTTTTTTACAAGAATTTTAATCACAGTTGCCCTTTACTCCTTTGAGGTTCTCAACCAAATTGGGGTTTCGGATCTGTTAAAAAATCCAAGAAGGATCTCACTTAGAACGCCGGTCTTTCGCGATATATAAAGCTACTATAAATTGACCTCGAAGACTCCAATAAATCAACAATTTCAGTTTTAGATATTTCTCCTGCTATTCAAATAAATGCCGTGATATTTTAACCCTAATCTTGCAAAAGTTGAACTATGGAGAAGAAAGTGCCTGAATATTTCCATCGTACTTCCCTTCAAACAACTTTGGCAAACCGCCACTCCGTTCGAAAGACCAGGTAGACTTGGAATTTCTATTTGCCGTCAAACAGCGAAAAGGAAGAACGACTGGGGCGCTGTTGTAAACTCGGCTATAACTGCGTAAGTTCAACCTTCTGGTGAATTCGCTATGGCCGGCACCTAAATAAAGTAGCTTGATGAAATTGATAGAGATGACTCTACGCCGGTATTGCCGCTCTGTCGGAATATAGACTTACATCCCTGAAAGAGGGCAATAGGTCTACTGTGGCTTTAAAGTCAAAATCGTAGTCTAAAACTAAGCTTAATGGTGATCTCTTTACAGTAAACTCTTTAATGGTTAATGCTCCTTTTTTGCGAGAGTACATATCATAAATCCTAACCTAAGCAATTTTAAAACGCAAATTTATATTTTTATGGTTGTAATGTAAATTTAATATGAAAATGTATAAAAACTGTTCAGATAATATAACTGTGTAAGATTATAGTTGAACCTTGGCCATAGGCAAACCGGTGGCGCCCAGACCGGTGATTTTGTAAGTAGTGCCAGCCGGTGGTGGTTGCTCAAATTTGGCTGATGTTGTTACATACAAGATATCGAGATTGGGACCACCCCAGGCGGCAGATGTGATCTGCTTGGTTGGCAATTTGATTTCCAAGAGCACTTTGCCGGTGCTAAATCGAAAACAAAAGAAGTAAGAAGGTCGGGATTTATTACTTATTGCGTCAATTTATACTAACCTTGGATTGACCTTGTATATGGTGTGGCCATTGAAGGTGGCCACATAAATATTACCATCACTGTCTATGGTCAAACCGTCGGGCAACACATTGTCCTTCGGATTTGGACGACGCAAATCGAAAACGACCTTTGGTTTAGCTAAATTAATGAAAGTGGAAAAAGGTCTTGTAGTGAAAACTTTCTCAAAGAAAATCAAGCGCGTTGTGCTTACTCGGTATACCAGCATTAAAGTCATAATCGTATTCCTTCACTTCATAGTCGGTTGTGTCTATATAATAGAACTTATTGGTCTTCTCGTTCCATGCCAAGCCATTGGAGATGCCAACATCCGTCTTCACTACCGACACCTTGCCACCCTTCTCATACTTGTAGAGTTCACCCCAGCGATCTTTGAATTCATCACCAACATAACGCATCGTGCCGGCGAAGAGACGTCCACGTGGATCAGCTTTGCCATCGTTAAAACGATTCACAATATACTGTTCATCTTGTTGCACTTCGAAGAGTACACGGTCTACCTTGCTTGTCGGCGAAACACCATCCCAAGTGACAACGACTACACGACGACCAGCTCCTACAACGAATTTGTCGCTTTGTCCTTCCACCGGCACAATGAAGGAGGCGAGTTCGACGCCCTCAACTTTGCTATGGTACACCTTATCCTCCTGGTAGTCGTAGCGCAATATTTTACCAGCTTCAATGTCAACATAGTAGAGACTCTGCGTCTCAATATCCCAATGGGGACCTTCACCGAGGTGGGCATAAGAGTTGGGCAATGGTTCGATTTTGTAAGACATCTGTGTGCGGGAGATAGAGCAAATAATGGAAATCAGTAAGGACATTAACATATTTTTATATTATTCTCGTAGGTATGACAAATTTTGTTGCATTATACTAAATGTTACATATACCATATATTATAGACTGATTATATAAATAGTTGGGTTAAACAAAACTTTATCTTAATTTACATATTGAATGTATAAATTTCATCGGTTTTATACCCATTTATTTATTGACAATCTCATATTTTTTTGCATTTTTTAACCACACAACAAATTGTATAGGTCATCAGCAGTAAACATTTCGAAAACAGCTGTTTTAGTTGAATAAAAAAATCGTTAAAAAGGTTTGGATTAAAATTTAATTTTTTGTGCTTTCTTAAGAAACATTAACTTTTTGAGGTCATTAATCCGTTAAAATGCTTAAGTTCAGGTATACAAATTAGGTTGTCAAATACCTCCCTTCCGCCTTTTTGTCTTTTGAATTTCGCGGCTATGTGTAAAGCGCTACATGCCAGGAAGGTTTGCTGTGTGTTTGGTGGTAATGGAAGGGAATCATGCACTATGAGCTGCTCACATTTGGCCAGATGCTCAACTCCACCATTTACTGCGAACAACTGTTCTGCTTGAAGCAGGTGAGCACCCAGAAACGTCCAGAATTGGTCATTAGGATTGGTGTAGTGTTCCTCCAAGTCAACGCCAGACCACAGCTCGGATGTGAGGCTATCGCATCCATCATATAGCCCGAACATAGCGCTAAGGGATTATCACCTGTTCCTGTCCATGATATTATTGACTGGAACAGTTAGAACTCGCTGTGATAAATTTGTTGTAAAGTCAAATTGACTCAAAATATATAACAGGGTTAAAAGCTCTTTTATGACGGAACTCCATCTGCTGAATGAAAATTGTATACATTTTTGTATGAGCAAAAAATTAACATTTTAGAGACGACCATGCTCCTTCCTCAACTGCTCAGTTGCAAAAAGAAATTCAACCAAGTATGTCAATAATTTTGAAAAAAAAAAAAAAAATAACCTCAAAGTGCTGCTTTTCATTACAGATTATCGACATCGATCAGTATTTAGACATTCGGTTTGTGGTTCGAACGGCGTGCAATTGTGAGGATCCGCACTTACGTTTTTTTCGTAGCCGAACAGGTTTTAAGTTTAGCAACGAAGTTTGTAACACCTAATCAAGATCGTGTTATACTACACCGTTAGACTTTTTCCGTGGACATATTTAAAGTCTACAGTCTATGCAGACAATCCCGCTTCGATTCAACCCTTGGAACAA